TCTGATGTGTTTCATTCCCATTGTGTTCAGTTAGGTAGAGTTTTGGGGTCCCTTATGACTACTGATGGTAAGCCTCCTTCTGACTCTTGATGACTTATCTACCTTGTTTTGAAGCAATGCTTATTCAAGCCTCATCCTTTTTCTGTTATTCAAATTTATTGCCTTTTGGTTGTTGTGTTATTGAAGGATTTTAAACACTGGATTTTACACCTTTGTTAGATACATTATTCTTAAATATTTTCTCTTATTCTACAAAGAATTTTTAGTTTTCCAATGTATAATCTAAAAAAAATTACAAGATACAAATGATCAAATCTTCTTGTGTAGAATAGGATTTTGATATCTTATCTAAGATAATTTTCAAATTGAAGTTATGAGAATTTACTACTTATTTCTTCTTAGCACTCTTTATATTCAGGTTTTTGACTCATGTTGTTTTGTATGTAGTGTGAGGAGTAGGCCCAACATATTCTTCTGCATGCTGATGTCAGTTGTTGTAACACTGTTTATTTAATAGTCTATTCTTTCTTCTATAAAGCTTCATGATATACCCATCCAAAGTCATTAACAGCAGCTCTATGAGTTTATTTCTAGATGCTCAATTCTGTTCCATTGGCTGTTTATCTTGTCAATATTTGTAGTATATGCTGAAATCAGGGTTTGGATCCCTTCAATTTTATTTCTAGTTTCTAGTTGCTTTTTATATGATTGATATAACAATTTATGTTTCTTAAAATTCCATATGAAATTTCATAGGAATGCTTTGAATCTATATAAGATTTAATGTTTTTAATGTTATTTTAATCATAACTTCTAATTATTTAGATTTCATTCATATCTTTTGTAATGTTGTATAGCCGTCAGTATATAACCTTTGAACTCTGAATAAATTTCTCCTTAAGTATTTTTTTAATTTTCAATGTTGTTTAAAAATAGAGTTTCTTTCTTTTTTTTTCAAAGATTTCTTCATTTTTTATGTATGTAGTGTTCTGCCTGTGTGCCAGAAGAGTACACTAGATCTCATTATAGATGGCTTTGAGCTACCACGTAGTTGCTGGCAATTAAATTTAAGACCTCCAGAAAAGCAGCCAGTGTTCTTAACCACTGTGCCATATCTCCAACCCTGTAGAGTTTTTTCTTAAGATTTTCTTGTTCACATAGAAAAAAGTTTCATTTTCACATGTTGTGTTTGTACCATGAAATCTTACTGCATTCTTAATACCTATGATCATTTAAGTGGGTTCCTTGGGATTTTCTTTATACAATGCCAGGGTGCTTACGAGTGCAGATAATCTTCCTTCTTTTCCAATACAAATGGCTTTTATTTCTTTCTGACTAAAACTTCCAGTGTAACTTAAAATAGAAGTTACAAGAACTAACCTTTTGGTTCCTGATTATAAGGGGAAAGCACACTCATCCATACTAAAATATTATGATTAACTGTTGACTTTTTCCTGTGTGCTCCTAATTAAGATTTTTTTTTCTTGTTTGACAGTTTAACCCACTTATATATAATGGATTTTAGTCACTTTTACTCTCCTCTTCTTTCTCTGTTCCACCAAACTCTTTTGTTTCAGTAAGTCTTGCTTCTAACTTTCCCAAAGTCATTTGATATGTGATCCACTGGGTTTAATCAATGATTTTTGCATGAGCATGGATGGGAGGATGCTTACTGGAGAAAAGAAACTTGCTAATGGCTACTCCATTGAAGAGAACAGTCTTTCCACCAACAGCTTTTAATTGCCAATAGTTCTTCAAGCAGAGGGTGGGGCCTCCCTGCCTCATTAATAAGTGCATTGGCCATACCATGTCCAAAAGACCCCTTATGATGTACATTTCTCCATCTTCTGACTTATGCTATTTTTGCCTTTCCTTATATAATGTTCTCTGAGCCTCGAAAATTGTATTATACCTATTTCAGTTGGAACCAATCACTCTACTACTTACTCTCTATACTTTGGCCAATTAGATCTTCTAGTAACTACTTTACCCAATTAAAAAGATCCTTTTACATTTTATCTTGAAAACTGTTTCCTTTTGAAAGAAATAAATGTCCCTCATTTCTTTATGTTTGAGCAGGTCATTTTCAGTGGTTCAGAAAATAAGGTCATGAACGTTTGCCATCTATTTACTTGCTGTTAGATCTCCTAGTCATTAGTCTAAAATAGTAATTGGAGCACAAAGGTACTTGTCAGTTCTCTGTCCAATTCTCCCTTATTTGATTTGATAGACAGGACTAAATGGGATATATGACCATTGGAAAAACATTGGGATATGTTTGTCTTTGGTCAGTGTAATAAATCTCTAAGATGTAGTTCACAGGACCTTCACTTTATTCTTCTTTAGTCTAGAGGATCAATTCTCAACATGTGGGTCTTGACTGCTTTCGGGTGGAAGGACCCTTTTACAGAGGTTGCATATCAGATATCCTGCATATCAGATACCCTTTGATTCATAAAAGTAGAAAAATTACAGTTATGAAGTAGCAACAAAAATAATTTTATAGTTAAGGGTCACCACAACATGAGGAACTAACTGTATTAAAGGATAACAGGATTAGGAAGATTGAGAACCAGTGCTCTGGAGGGAGCTTGGTCACTGAGGCTGACTGAGAGATAAGAGGTTCCAGGTTGAAGGACAGTAATGTCCTCCCACTTTCCAGGACAAAAGCTGTAACAGTAAAGAAAACAATCAAGGTATGTTTGGGTATCTTCCCCTGTGTCTCTGGGTGCAGGCCAGACATACCCTGAGTTTCTTCTCAGTCCCTCAGGTGGGCATCAGAGATCCTATAGCTACTCTGATATTCCATTTTACAGATGATGTCACTGAGACCAAAAATGTTTCATAACTTTCAAAAGCCACAGAGCTTATGACAGGTGGAGTCAGCACTAAACCTCAGCAGACTCCAGTCCCCTTAACCACCCCTCTTGCATCTACTCCCTTGGGTGTCCTCAGTTCTGCTTGTCCACTCCAGGAAACAATTGAGCTCTTGAGCATAATTTTTCAGCAGGATAGCCTGTGTATAACTTTCCCAGTATTCTTTGTAGTTGGAATTCCATGTGCTTTTTGGTTGAGTGTTTCAATAAGAAACATGAAATTCAGGCCCTCTAGAAGCATCTCCCTAACTTTGAAGCCCACATGGAATTCTTTGCACATACACTTGATCTTAATAACCATGCTGATTTTAATGACTATAAACACTAATGTCCAAGATGACACAATGCTAGTGACAGAGTAGAAGGAGAACTCATCCATGTCTGTTTTGCTCCCCATTATGCACTGCCTCTTACACTCTCAAGATACTCACAAATGAGAATGCAACTGCCTTTTCTAGCCTGCTCCAGAGGTGTACAAATGCCCCAAAGCCACTTCCAAGATTGGGTTTGTTTTTATTTAAATGCTTTCATGTCTCCTCGTGCAAGAAAGTGGAACATAATGCCTATAACTGATATTTTCTCAAATTCGGCCCGGTGACAAATGCCATTTTAAGGTCTTTTCTTAGACAGTCTATTAATTTTTAAAGTTCTCATTGATGCCTTCTCGACATACTATGTGGGAGAGAAATAGACCTGTAAAGGAAAGAGTTCTTTGCACCAGCTATATTTTCTCAGATAGCTGAGGTTATTTGCAAAAACCAAGATATACACATCAGGACATGCAGCTTATAGATTTCCCCAGCTGCTATACTGGTGATGATTCCTGTATCCAACCATTATCAACATCTATGATAAATTGTTGAGTGTGCAGCATGCAAGATTCTCTTGGTATCTAATTTCAAACAGCAAGGAATTGTGCCATTTGTGGGTAGCCTCCTAACATATGGGTGACAGGCTCTCAGTGGTTGGTCTCCTTTGGGTATTGGCCCAGGCATGCTGAGTTTTATTGTGACCCTAGTATCACAGTTGGTGTTTTTTAAGCTTACAAAGGCAAGGCAGTATTTGCATATCTATCAACACCAGTTTTCCAGGCATTTGGCTTTTCTGACTACTTTTCCTTCCTTCCTTCCTTCCTTCCTTCCTTCCTTCCTTCCTTCCTTCCTTCCTTCTTCCTTTCTTTCTTTCCTTCTTCCTTCCTTCCTTCCTTTCTTTCTTTCTTTCTTCCTTCCTTCCTTTCTTTTTTCTTCCTTTAGTTCTTTAAGTTAGGATCCCATAGTGCAATCAAGCAGGAATGTAAGACCCTCAGAATGAGGAGTCTTCCAGGTTCAGTCCATACCCCAAGAACTCAATGTCCAGTCCAGTTGCTGCAAAACGCTAGAGGCTTAAACGTTGCACAAACGGGCTCCTCCAGCACACAGGCTAGGGAGAAGCCCCCTCCCCTGGGCCCAGGTGTTTTTAAAGGCAACCCCACAAGCTTAGGGAGGGGGTGAGACCCACTGTCCATTGAGTACATGACCCTTGGAGGCCAGATGGTCTGCTATTAGGGTCAGCAGACCTTAGGGCCTCAGGTGTGCTAATTAATCTTGTCTGGGCAAACCAGAGTTACAGCTATCACTTGACCCTATTTACCACCTGTTGACTCACAGGAAAGGAGGGGCAGTGTGAAGTTTTCTTATCTCAGGGCCTTGTGAGAGGAAGCTAGCAAATTCCAAGGAACAGATATTGGTTTCCAGGTTAGTCCATCATTAACATTACTTTTTAGGTCTTTCAGCATATCTGTCAACATCAGTTTTCCAGGCATTAGGCTTTTCTGACTACCTTTCCTTCTTTCTTTCTTTCTTTCTTTCTTTCTTTCTTTCTTCCTTCCTTTCTTTCTTCCTTCCTTCCTTCCTTTCTTTTTTCTTCCTTTAGTTCTTTAAGTTAGGATCCCATAGTCAATCAAGCAGGAGGGAAAAGAATGGAAAAATTGGAGGCTGCTGTCTTTTCTCTTCCCATAGACAATTATTTGAAGAGACAGGCTAGAACTTTACATGGGAGATACCAAGAAAAATTGTATTTGGATGTCAGCTATGGTGACTATAGGTTGTTTGCTTAAGAGAACTTCTCCTTTACCTTTTTCCACAGACATACTTCAATGACAATATCCTCACCCTGATACGGACCCTGGTGACAGGAGGAGCCACACCAGAGCTTGAGGCTCTGATTGCTGAGGAGAATGCACTTCGAGGGGGCTACAGCACTCCCCAGACACTGGCCAACAGAGACCGTTGCCGAGTGGCTCAGTTAGCCCTGTTGGATGGGCCCTTTGCAGACTTAGGGGTGAGTCTACAGCATACACGATTCCTGAGCCCAGTGCTTGCAACAAGCCTGGTAAGAATGAACTGTGTTGAACAGTATCAGGTTAGGCATCTGTATTTCTCTCTTTCATTGTAGTAGACAAAAATTTATGGGGCTCTATTTATCAGGCCCCACACTTCACTTATGCAAATCCTCCTACCAGATCATTGATGTGTTGCTCTCAGGCAACTGAGGCATGGGGCATTTGCATCAAGGCATCTTGGCTTTGGAGCTATGGGTCTCTCCTCCATTGCTGTCTTCCTCAAGTATTTTCTTCCCAGAGATGAAAGGGGTAGCTGCCAACACCATATAGCTAAGTTTAGGAAACATCTTCACAGGGTCCTTATAGCTCAAATGTACTTTGTTATGAATCTGTCTGAACATGGGGATGCTATGCCTCAAACCCTGCTACCAGAGATTTTGTGTTTATATACTGTGGACACAAAAAATTACAGCTTTCAGCTTTCATCTTAAAAAGAATAAGGAATAATTTACTCTGGAGCTATTTTGATGGACCATGGCTCAGAAACATGGATTTAGGTTATCCTGGATTCCTTGTTTTCTCCTGGAAGCAGATTTGTGAAGCTGTATAGTTTTATCAAACAAAAAAATTCACAAATTAAGACAACTTTAAAATACATCGGTGGGTCCAGCAGAGGCAGGTATAGCAAGATGGGAAAAGATTTCCTGTATGTACAAGATGCCATCTGATGACATTCTTAGCTTTGGGTTGGTGGAAGCTAGTTGTCTGCTAAGTCAATAGATTCTAAAAAGTTTCTATTGGCCACAAGATGCTAGTTCTAGAGAGAGTTGGGCTGTTCTTCTAGGGGGCTAGAACTAGCCCAAGATAAGGTGATTATCTTCTGGACATACAACTTTCTAATCTTGTACTGTAGTTCTAATCACCAGTCTCTAGAGGCATAGCTTCTTTTCAGGAATTTTTGTTCATAGTACCATAGAGGCACTGGTGGGTTTTGAAGCATCAAGGCAGTTGTGTGTATACAGAACCATTGGCCAAAGTGACAGGATCTCAATTGTTACCTTTGATGTTTTGAAGTCTCTAATTCACAACCCTGGTCTTGGGATTTCTGAGTCTGGACCCATTCATACTTCTCTAGGCCTCCTTTAGTGAGGGGACCAGAGCTTCTTGGATTTTCTGTACTCACTACTCTATACTCTGTGCTGTGTCAGACACTTTGGAAAAAGTGTGCCACCTTGACCTTTACTCCAAACTCACCTGCATAGGTGTGTTTAAGAAGTGAAACCATGAGCCTTGGGATGGATGTATATACCTATTACACACACACACACACACACACACACACACACACACACACACAAATATTGCCCAGAATATCTCATCATGGAAAAGGTCTTTTTTTGTAACACATCAAATGGCTACTTGTGGGCCCAGACAATATTAGACTGGGGCTGTTTTGAAAATCAACTTTCGTTATCAGTGGCTCTTATCCTTATGACTTCCTTACTAATATACTTGAATCAGATTAATATTTTCAATAATGGAAAAATGTGGGATCATTTGTTGTCTAATATGATGCCCATCATGGGAATTCCAGTGATAGCAAAGACAAATATATTCCCTTGGTTCCTAATGAATCCACTCTGCTGTGCTGTTCAGTATAATGAAGTCTACTTGGAGTCACATATCTGCATGAAGCCCAGAATTTTCTATGCACTTGCAAACATTTTCACATTCTGAGTTAAGCTCCAGAACTAGGGATGGCTGTGAACTTATTAGTATAGTGAATCCCAGTTATCTCACCGGCAGACTCCCACCTGCTCTTTCCCCTAGACATCTCTGAGACCTGCAAATTGTGCTTTTCACACAGTCCTTATTTGAAGGAGTCTTAGCACAATAGGGCTGAAAGTGGGTGCTCTTTTATTCTTGCAGTGATTTTCATTATCACTTGGGCAGTTTTGACAGCATGGTCCCATCACAGTGGACACAGCTAAGCTGGGGGGGGGATATAATCTTTGCTTTGTGGAGCTCATTTCTCCTCTCTAGCTGTACAACTGAGACCTTCTAGTGTCATGTCCCCACCTCAGCTGAAGGAAGACAGAAGTGTACTTGAGCTATGGACACAACTGTGTGGATACCAGAGGAAGGCCTTGTGGATGTCAGATCCCTAAAATCAAACACAGAGGGTCCAAGTTGTTAACCATGCTGATGTCTTTGGTCACAGTCTCTTGGCATAGACCCTGGAACCCCACTCAAACCCCAGAGACAAGAAAACAAGCTCTCATGGAAAGGTCCACCCCCCACCTTAATTCCCAGAAAAACAAAACCTGATGTTTCTCTCTTTTTTTTTTTTTTTTTTTTTTTTTTTTTGTCTCCCAGGATGGTGGTTGTTATGGTGATCTGTTCTGCAAAGCTCTAAAAACATATAATATGCTTTGTTTTGGAATTTACCGGCTGAGAGATGCCCATCTCAGCACCCCCAGTCAGTGTACAAAAAGGTGAGTGTGTCTTCCTACTTTGCCATCTCACCCAAATGCAATGGTATCCATGCCTTCTCTCATTTCCTGCAGGCAAAGATCTCAATGTACATGCCTTCAATACACTGCCTGCATTAATTCTAACACTGAGCTGAGGAGTTGTGAGAAAGATTAAAAAAATAACTAATATGAATGTGAAGCCATTGAGGGAAGAATTTGTGTTTTGTTAAGGTCAGAGTCCCATGCTTTGGGTCCTTGCATCACTTCCTTGGTCCCTAATGTGGAGATGCTTCACATTGATAGTTTTTGCTGCATATACTTTGTAACTGACTCACTTCCTTTCATATATTCAATTTTAAGAAACTTTTATATTATCACCTTAAATAAAAATATATGATGGTTTGGATATGCTATCTGTTTTTCCTTACATGCCTTAATAAAAATTCATAGCAGACAAAACATTAACCCAAACCCATTTGTGTAGTGTACTTCAGGAAATAGTGCCATAGGTGTATTTTTCAGATCTGTAGATTACATCATCTGTTTTTTGTTTTTTTTTTTTTGTTTGTTTTTGTTTTTCTGTTTTTAATACTGGGGGCTAGAGAGATGGCTCAGCAATTAAAAGCCCTCTCTGTTCTCCCAGAGGACCTAGATTCAATTCCTAGCACACACATGACAGCTCACAATTGTCTGTAACTTTAATTCCAGGGGATCCAATACAGCCCTCCACATACATACATGTAAGAAAAACTCCAATGCAAATAAAATAAATATAAATTATTTTAAAAATACTGTTATTAGAGTAATTTCTGTAGTGTGTAAGGAAAAACGACACACACTTTTCAAAATTATATAACAATGTTTACATATTTAATGCCTGAAAATTATAGTTCATAGCCAGAGTTAAAAAGTTTTGCAGATTAATGCCAGGTGGTGGTCTGCATACCTTTAATCCCAGTACTAGGGAGGCAGAAAGTCAAATCTTCCTTCCTTCCTTCCTTCCTTCCTTCCTTTCTCCCTCCCTCCCTCCCTCCCTCCCTCCCTCCCTCCCTCCCTCCCTCCCTCCCTCCCTCCCTTCCTTCCTTCTTTCCTTCTTTCCTTTCTTCCTCCCTTTCTCCCTTCCTTCTTTCAAGTGCTATCAACTGAGTCCAGGACCTCTAGCATGCAAGGCAAATGCTCTGTCACTAAGCTCCACCCCCACCAAGATCAACAATCTGCATTATTCTGAGGCTCCTGGGAGACTGAGACCATACTTTGAATCCATTACTTGCAGAAGTAACATGGTGATACACTGTAGCCATCCAGAGAAAGCTTGATCTAATAGGGAGGAGGCAGGTCAAACTCTTGTTTTGTGGGCTGTTTTTTTTTTTTTAAAGAGATCTGACTGTCAGGACATCCTAGTATGGAAGTTACAGCACAGCTGTTATGAACTTGATCCTTGTATGGAAAACCTCAAATGGTTCTTAGGAATTATGGTGTGCCTTTTTCATTACCAGTTCTAACTTGGCACCTCTGCCCAGGCTTCTGGGCATGTTAAACTCGTTGAGTTTAACATGATGATTTTCTTTAATTTGGAAGAGAATTTGAGGTTACTGGCCTGAGTACATCACCTACTTCCTCAGAGGGATTGGAGTAGCCAGGCAATGAGTTAAATCGTGTGCTTGCACCACTCAGCATCCGGTGATACCTTTGCATTCTCTGTCTAGGTATGTCATCACCAACCCCCCCTATGAGTTTGAGCTCGTCCCGACAGACCTGATCTTCTGCCTGATGCAGTTTGACCACAACGCTGGCCAGTCCCGGGCCAGCCTGTCTCATTCCTCCCACTCCTCACAGTCCTCCAGTAAGAAGAGCTCTTCTGTCCACTCTATCCCGTCCACAGCAAATCGGCCGAACCGGCCCAAGTCCAGGGAGTCTCGCGACAAACAGAAGTACGTTCAGGAAGAGCGGCTTTGATATATGTATCCACCGGCACCATGCGTGAAACTGTATCTGCTACTCATTTTCCCAGTTGGTATTCCAACAAAGTAACTTCCCTGTTCCCTGTAGTTCCCTCTTTTTTCTTTCCTTTCTTTTCTTTACTTTTTTTTTTTTTTTTTACACATTTTGCATATGTATGATAGTGTGCATGTGGTTGTCATTTTTTATTTCACCACCATAAAACCCTTGAACACAACAGCAAATAAGTGGACGGACCAAAAGTTATTTATGATTCTAGGGGGGGAAATAATCCAAAGGCATCCTCCAGAAGTAAATAGCTCACTACAGGAACGAGGTCACAGATTAGGAGGGAATATCTGTGATTTGTGTCAGTTAGGCAAAGCAGGTTTATTCTGATTCATCAGGGTCATCAGAATGCTCTGGGTTTTGATTTTTGTTTCTTTGTTATTTCTTTGTTCTCTCTCTCTCTTTTTATACACACATAATAAGTTAGCACACAATCATTTGAAACAAGCAACTAAAAACAATGAAACTGCATTGATGGTTTCCACTATGGGCTGAACTATGGCAAAATATTTGAAAAGCTTTCAAAGTTTGCATGGAAGATGATTAAGTATCTACTTGTTTCAAAAGAGCATCAGATTTCTTTACTTATTTATCAAAGCCTTTGTGTACAAGCTAGCTTCTTTCAGGAGTTTAAGTGGATGTTTCTAACTTTAATGCTGAGAAACAGGTTTCCACTCCTGGATGTATCAAATCCTAGTCATTTTATTTACCAGAAAAGAAGTTTGGTTGCATATTAAATTGTTCTTCTGTCTCCTTATGCTGCCATAGGGATAGTGAGTTTTTTTCTTTCACTTTTGACATTTGGGATAAAAAGCCATATGTATCATAAATATCAGATGTAAGTCATTAAGAACTGTCTTCCTGGGACTTTTACATCTTTTAAAAGGTGAATCACTTACCTTATGTACAGAATAAATAACACTCAGAAAAGAGCAAGTATTTTTCCATGCATTCTCAGGGGATCTTTTTACTCCCCTTTGTTTGACTAAGGAGGGCCCAAGTGCCAGATAGAATTCAGGCTGGGGAACTGATGGAAGAGAAGAAAGATCTGGTGGCAGATAATGTTTTTTGTAGGAGCTAGATAAATCAGGATGTAGGAGGATGGAACCACAGTTGGTGGACTCAATAAAGACAAAAGCTATTGACTACATTTAAATTGCTGGCACAACTGTACAATGCTCTGTCCCACAGCAGAAGGCGGCAGGAGAAGTTGAGCATGGACAAGCTCTTTAACATACAGCCAATTCACATTCTCACTGTCATTTCAATGTGGGAAGGAAAGGGCCACAACAGTGAGCCAAACACGTTACAACAGAGTTTTTCTTCTTTTGTATTTTTTTTCCTTTCTTCCTGTCTTTCTTTCTTTTAAACTATTAGTCAATAAGGGAGGGAAGGTAGACTGATCCATTTTTCTCAATATGCAATTATCAAATGTTTTATGCATGCAAATTATGTTTTAGGAACATAGGAGTTCTGAGGAATTGGCCAACTTGACTATAAACAAATTCTGGTATGGGTAGACTAGCCTTGGGCACATATGAATGAATCTATTTGAAACTTTTACTTAGAAATCCATGGATAGAGTAGGGGGTAGAAAGGAGAGGGAAAATTTGTCACAGCTGTAGCATCTCTTTTAAAACGGTGTTTTTATGGTGAATGTTTGGGGTTTAGATTTTGGATCCCCTGTCCCCTCCAGCATGATGGTTTTGGAGATTTGCTTGCTGTGTGATTGACAAGCACTTTTACTGACAAAAATGGTGAGGCTTGGTCAGAACCTCTACCTCCTTCCACACCAAAGACAGGGCCAGGGTAGTACTCCAACCAGCAATGGGTGGGGAGTCAATGTATATGTGTAAATTTAAAAGTCCCTGTGAGTGCAATTATTTTTTTCAAATTATTTTTGTCCTTATGTATTTTGATTTATATATGACATATATCTAGCTCTTTATATATAACTATATATATGACTATATATATACATATATATGTATATGTATATATATATATATATATACACTATATATACATATCCCCTAGTTTTGGATCATGAGAGATCTTCATGCATTCTTTGCAAAAGGAGGTTATGAAGTTATGCCCTCAGAACATTTATAACTATGAGAATGTGCCAGTTAAAGTGCTCAACAGGAAATATGACAGTTTAAAAGCATTGTAAAACTCACATAGCTTACTTCTCTCTCTAAAGTGCAACAAGGATGACTAGAATGGGCCAAGGTATGACAATTAATGGTTCCTGCATGACCTAGCCACTGCTGGGGGTTTTCTTCTATAACGTTGTCCTTGTGAAACTTTTGTGGAATTAAAAAAAAGGAGTTACAAATTTTATCCTGTTATTGGTTTGTTTATTTTTATTTCTGTTGTTCTGTTCTGTTTGTGGTTCTATTTATTTTGTTTTGCTTCTCCACCCTTCTCTTCCCTTCCTCCTCCTTTCTCCCTTCTTCCTTCTTTTACTTCCTCCACTTTCTCAATTGCCCAGAGCAATGAGGCTGTGCTGCTGCTATGGCTAGATCCTTTAGAGTTTGTTTTGGTGTTCTTGGGTTTGGGGGTTGGGTAATCTGGGGGTAACTTCTCTCCATCTGGCTTGCCTTCAAATCTGCACGTGGCCTCCCTGCCCACCTTGGTACCTTGTCCCAAGTTCAAAAGCATTTTCCCATTGAGAAACCCAGCTTCCTCCACTTCCTTCATCACCACGACCACCCAAACCCAGCCCTCATAGGTCTGTTCACATCTCTGTGTTGATGTTGGCAAGACCCACCAAATTGAGCGATGATGCCAGTTGATAACTGTGTCCTGTAAAACATTCACAACTAGTCCACTTTGCGAATGTGCTTCTCTGTTAGTGGTTGACCCTCCTTTCATTTGTAGTAGGAGGGTTGTTAATGGCAAATGCATTGGTCTGCTTTCCTGTTTGTTCAATATGAACCCGAGTCAAAGCTGTTGAGCTGTGTGAATCAGCTTGAGAACGCATGTCCAGTGATGAAGGGGCTGATGACTCAGTCTGGACAGTACTCACGTGTCTCCTGCCACCTGCCTTTCAGATGTTAGTTAAATCCCACCAGGAAAGGCTCCAGTAGATGAGTCTGCATTTGACTGGGATGGAAACAGATTGTGACATGAAATGAAATTTGGGGGTTCCCCTAGTCTTTGGGCACACATTCCCCACTGGGTAATTGCATATCATTGAAAACTGGTCAGAGATAACCACTGATGTATCTGATGGTGGCAAAGGGATCACGATGAGTTCTCTCATAAGAACTGAAACTTGTATATTTATACTTTTCTTAATGGAGTGAAGAGTATATGCTCCATCGTTTTCCATTCGACTCCGCATCTCCTCCTCAAGACCAGAAGCTCCATTAGGAAGGAGGCAGATGATGTCTTCATAGTTTATCTCTTCCCTGCTTACCCTTTACCCAGACTAGAAACAAACGAGAAATGATACACAGTGAGAGAACCCTGTGAAAATGCATGCACTTAAGAAGAATCACAGCTTAGAACATGGTGCTCTTCCCAGTTCTGGAAGAAAAACAGTTTTTCAGCCATTTGGTCCAGTTTGCTCCGGCTTTGGAAAGGTCAGAAGTTAAGTGATTGGTAAACTAGGAGGGAGTTTTACTCAGCACTAGCTGTCTGATAACTGTGGGCCTGTCAACATACCTAACTGCTGCTACTGAACTCCTTTTCCAATCTAGTGCAAATGGATCCTAGCACTTTCTAGTTTCCACTGTATTTTTGGAGACCTTTCAAATTCCATTCTGAAATTAGGGCTTATGGATCAGGGTATTAAAGTAGGTATGCACAATATGTATTTGGAAAGATTCTCACCTTAACCATTTTCACACTTTTAAAATGTTGTATAATTTATCCACATCCCCCTGGTTTATTTTTGGAGAAGTGGCAATTAATGCCTGAGGTGTTGACTTAGTTGATTTGCTGGTGTCAGGCTCTTGGAGCCAGATTCTACTTCCAAGCCAGGGGACAAGCCCTGTGAGCTTAGTAACTAGAGAGACTGACTCTGCCTGTTGGCAGCATTATGAAGATCCTAGGTAACCAGAGGAACCTTTGATTGACTCTCTTTCAGCATGGGGAATGCCTTAAAGGTGTCTGTGTCCCAATAGATATAATTATATCAACCTTCCAGGTTCCTATAGCAACAGGCTCCTTGAAGAATAAGGAAGTACAGAAACTTCAGGGAGTGGAAGATAAGACAGGGTACAAATCAATTTCTCCACCAGCTTCCATCAGCCAATGCCTGCTTGTCATGATAAGGAAGTAGCTGTGGGCACCTGTCACTAAACTGGTTAAGTATCTCCCATAAGGTGGCTGCACATGGAAGGGAGCAAGAGAAATTAAGAGGAAAGTGTATCCTTGGGACTTGGCTGGATGCAGAGATGCAGTGGCAGACAGTCATAGTGGTCCATGACAGAGAAGTGAGATCAAAGGAAACCTGTCTGAATCTGGTAGAAACTATGGGTTTGTCTATGGAAAGGCTATATTCTGTTGAGGCAGAAGAAGAGGCGGGAGGATGTATACTTTTGGTTGGGAGGCATCAGGTTTTGTGAGCAGAGGAATACCATGATGCCTTTCAGAAATGTAATCCAGGAAACTACATGTAGTTGCCCTTGTAGGCTGAAGCTCCTTGTAGCCATTGGTGTCTTATATTCCTTGCTACCCAAATGGGATCTTTTCCATCCATGCCTTTGCTCTCAAAGCCTCAGCTCATCGTGCTACAATGTGCCTATTATTCCAGGTGTCGTTACTGCGTTACCAGTTCCACTTTCTGCAGTCTTCTTGGGAGAGTAGTTATGTGAAAAGACTAAAGCCCACAGCACTGACAGCCCATGGAGCCAGCAAAAGCTCTGTGTTCATAGTGCAACTGTTTCTCCCTTTGCTTAAGGTTTTAGTAGCTCAGCCCTTCCTAACCATAGTAACTCTCCTCCATGAACAATTCTAAATACTTGTTCTAAACCCTAACCCTATCATTTCCTTATACTAGTGGTGGAAGACATGGGTAGTTCCCCAAAGGCAGATCATTCCTCAATTGAAAACTGATGTCATAAACAATGACCCACTGCACATCAGCCCTGAATTCCCCAGCATAATACCATATTACCTCTTCCTCTCATTCAGCTTCCTGATGAAGACTGACTACCCATAAGATCCTACCATGTCACCTCTATTGCCACAATCTACATTCTTCAGGCAAGCCTCCAGTTCATACAGCCTAGGTCTCTGCCTCTAGCTCCTCCATTGAAGAACTTCATTTGCAAACACAACATGTGGAAGGTACCTCCCTTCCCCCCACATCTACTCATATTAGTGCTAATCTTAAAGCTAATTCTTAGGCAATCATTTTGGCTACTGTGCCCAGCAAGTTACAGTTGTAAACACATCCAACTCTCTTCATCAACTCAATGTAGAGGTCATTAGAATTTCCATATGACTGATAAGAATCTGAAGAACACCAAATTCAGTATAGTTTGGTCACTGCAACACAGTGTCCTTTCATTAATCACATTAACAAACTTAGCTAAGATTATTTGCTTACCATGTAACTGAATGTGTTAGTCAGCCATTGCTACCTGTTTTGTTGACTTAGCCAACAAGGCTACTTCCTTGTTCCTATTCTACAGAAGAGGAATGACAGCAAGATACTTTATATAACTTTTTTTTTTTTTTATAGGAGATGGGATGTGAGAGATGCGGGTACACTTGACTCTATACCACAGGCTTCTGCCATTTCACTAGCCTCTTCCCATAGTGTGCATATAGCCTGTGCCCATAGTGTGCATTATGGCTTAGTTTGTATACAACATGACCATAGAAGTCAGGTGGTGGTTCTGCACACCCTTAATCCTAGTACCTGGGAGACAGAGGCAGGTAGCTCTCCATGAGCTCAAGGTCAGGCTGGTCTACAAGGATGTTCCAGGACAGCCAAGGCTACACAGAGAAACCCTATCTTAAAAAAATAATAATGTAGCAGTTATTTTACCTCCAGTTATTTTCTCAATTTTTATTTTATTTTATCTGTCTGCTTATGAAGGATAGTAACATGTCATTCCCTCCCTAACTCTAACAGACTTGTGACCAAAGTTCCTGACAGGTCACACAGAGTTCTCAGAACAGGTTATGATGCATATACCACCCACAAGAAGTTTATGAACACACACAGGTTTTTATTTCATTTTATTTTGTTGGAGTCTGTCACCAAAAAATCCTTCACAGACCACAGAATTTCTCATCCTAGGTGTGAAACAAGGCCACATAGAACACAGAGATAAACCAAGCATGGGAATGGAGTTCCCTTACTCACTTCAGTCCTCGTTAGAATCCCTGCTTTCAGTCTTCTTCCTAGTACCTGGTTTCGTAGCAATCTATTGGCACAGCTTCATCTTTGAATAACAAGATTCTGTATGCCAAATTGTTACCATATTATTACACAAAGTACATTCCGTGGAAGGCCAGTGGATGGTGACCATTGAAATATACCTCTCTCTGAAGCTGTTTGGGAGACCTTTGTCCCCAAACATTTTACACAATGTCCAGAGCACTTCACTATTTCAATTTTCTCAACTTACTTGACCAGGCCTCCCACAGCACAGGCTTTTAGAGTTTAGGAGACACTGAATGAAACAGTGGCTTCTCAGGGATAGTGAGACTCTCACCTGCCAATTGGGAGGTGTTTGCCTACAACACTTTCCTTGCTTGAAGCTGCTTTTCCACCCAGGTTGCCTTTTGTGGCAAGAAATTTAAAGAGAAAAAAGAAATTTAAATGAGACCAATGATGTTGTTTTACTTTCAGACAGCTGGAGGAAATTGGTATTCTCTCCATTTTGAAAGGTCAAAAATGCCCCCTTTGAATTGAACTGTAAATACTAAATTCTCAACAATTATTCTCTGCAGCAGTTGTTAAAAAAAAAAAATCAGCAAATTGCAGCTGTTTGGTCTTTCACCAAAACACACCCGCTTTCTCTATCAGCAAGACTTACTCTTCTACCTGGCATGTACAACCTAGCACTGAATCCCTTAGGCAAAATCCCTTGCCAGAGCCAAGGGCAGCTTGGGCAAATAGCGTAAACACCAGGCTCCTCTCTGAGCTTCATCTCTGCACATAAGCTGTTTGAGAAAGTCATAGTTGGAAATTGTTTCGGAGACCTGGCAATGCTTTTAAAACATGATAACCATCACACTTTACTCTTCTCTGAAAGGTTAGTTTAATCGTAGATCACAAAAAATTGGTTTCCACAAATGCATAATGGTTCATCTATGTCACACTTGAACTAAATGGTTTTTTAAATGGAGCTGAAATTATTTTGATGTGTACACAGTCCCAGATTTCTATACAACCTTTTTTAACCAGCCCATCAGGAGTCTTGCCTCTAAAGCCTCATTAATAATTCAGATGTGCTGATGACTTTAAAAGATCTATGGAATTGAAGCTTAGGGGGAAAAAACCCTCCTCTTGACAAAAAGATAAATGAATGTAGAAAGAAGCTGTAGGAGGCTGGCAAGCTGTAGATCATCTCAGAACAGATTGTAACTTTATCATTCTGTCAGGGGGAATAATTTAAAGCACTTAATCAGTTAGTTTCACTGTGAGGATGTAGCATTATGAATTCCTACCGTCCAATCTGTTCAAATCAAAGTGAATGTAATTATAATAGGTAGGAGAGCCAGAGCAAGAAGGATCATGGGGAGAATCATGCAAGAGGTAGCAAGTATCCTGAGGGCTAAACTGAGCCACTGAACGTCTATCTTTTAGGCTTTTCTCACTCATACCCTAGCCCCAGAGGCAGCCACATGGAGGAGCGAGGGCATGGAAATGGTGTTACTACAGACCAAGAAGGAAAAAGTGGAGCGATCATGAGCTAATCACAGATGCTTAATTTATAAGCTAACACATGCACGTGCACACACATGCGCATGCTTGCACACATGAACACCAAGCCAACTGGGCAATCATTTTAACAGGTACGTCCACAACCAGACACAAGGCAGATGTAAATTGTTCCATGAGAAATAAAAACGGAAGCCACAGAGACCATTGTGAATGTGTCCAGAGAGCAGTGAATGTGTTGGAAAGCTGTTTCCCTTTTCCCCTCCCTCCCCTCTGCCACTGGAATGAAGCCAACAATCCCCAAAGCTAGATGGTCTACTGCCCAGTCCCTTCCTGTCTGCACACATGACCAAGTTTTCAGAAAATTTCAGTCCTAGAAAGGGGCAGGCATAGATTAGAGCTGAACCAGTTGAAATAGCACAACTCAGCTAAGAGGCTGTTCTTCTGCAGAGCACACCCCCCAACAACACACAAAAGCCCTGACTCAGCAGTCTCTATCTCTCAGCCATTTCTATATTTTGGGTGGAGAGGAAAGTGGCAAGCCCCCTGGAGCTCACTGCTGACAGCTTGGGTTATTATAGTCAACTGAGATGCTGCCACCTGGAACTCTTTCCATGACTTCATACCCACAGACTTCTCTTTCTTTAAATAAAAGCCATTTCAAAATTCTCTTTTAGGACAATTTCCTATTCTGATTTTTACTCTCATTGGCCAAGAAATTCTATAGGATCCCCTTAAGACCCATTGGACCATCAAAGAGATGCAGACAGGACAGAAGTTATACAGTTGATATCTGCCTTTGTGTCTGCCTGTTGTAACAAAGCCAAGAAAAGGATGGGAAGAGGTGAAACTGGAAGATTCTGGACTGCTTGTTCCACAGCAGGGATGGTGACTGTCTACTCCAGCTTAGTCTCTGAGGTTGGCCAGCTCCTAATAGCACCCAGTCTCAATAGCACATTCATTTTGTTCTTCACTGGCTACAGGAAAGAGGATGCTCAGGTTCAGGGGGCTTCTGTAACTGCACTGTCTTAGCAATTACTCACTGCCAGCTTCTATTGATTACCTTTATGCATTTTCAATGAACTTTCGAAAAGCTTAACCTAGGACTAATTAAGCTTCTCATTTCTCCTTCTTGTTCTCTATCCATTTTGCCCTTTAGCAGAAAAGAAATGGTTTACAGATGAACCGGATAATGCCTACCCCAGAAACATTCAAACCAAGCCCATGAGTACCCACATGGCTAACCAGATCAACCAATATAAATCCACAAGCAGCTTGATCCCTCCAATCAGAGAAGTTGAAGATGAATGTTGACTCCCAGGAGACCAGAACTATTTTTTTAAAGCCTGACAAACTTCATAAATGGTGACGTGACTTTTCTTCCTCTTCCATGCTGAATCACTGGTGGAAACACTAGAGCAAGCAAGAATTGAAAGAAAAAGTAGACAGCTCTTTCTCTTTGCCTTGAATATTGCTTCCATGTACTTTGGAAAAGAAAATTATTTCATTTATAAATGAACATACTAAAATAGTCATGTATAGCTTCTAGTGTTTTAAATTATTTTTATTTATTAGAAAAAATATATTTTTCTTTTCTTTTCTCTTTTTCATTGCCAGATATCTTCCCATATATCACAGCAATGTAAAATCAAAATGAGTATGTGGCCAGATTCCTTAATGTGTATTTCTCTTGCTTCCCTCTTTTTCTTTGAGGAGAATGATGGTCACCACCCCAATTTATAATTAATGGAAATGGATTACCAAAAGAATTTTAAGGTAGTGAACAATGCACACATGTATTTTAGTAAATCAAACAAAACAAAACAAACAAACAAACAAAAAACAGTCAAAAGAACAGAGGTGAAAATTTGCCTCTTCCATGGGTGTGTGTTTTGATCTGCACTGACACCAGCTCTTAACAAATCAAACTTAACTTCAAAGTTGGAAGTCAGATCTTTGGAGTTGCAGTTTTCATCCGATATTTCTTACCATTTGTGCATGCATTTAAAGGAAAGAGCTTCTTGCAGCTTTTCTGCAGTTGCCAGATCAGGTTTAAGCAGCCAGCTCAAGATATGGGGACGGGTTATAGGCACACCTAGGATCCGGAAATTGTGCATCAAGAGCAGCCTGTTTGTTGTTCTCATGGTGGGGCCTCCTCCAAGCTATTATGCTTCCCATTTCATACTTCTAATTCACCCAAGCAAGTTATGTCACCTGTGGGAGGATCTAGTGAATTCTTTTCCCTATTCAGAGCTATTAGCCTGGAAGTTTGTGAACATCAATGAGTAGTTTTACCTAACACTGGGATCTAAGAAGTACTCATGCTTAACACGAAGCATTTTTTTTTTTTTTTTTTTTGATGTCAGATACCATCCACTGTCAAGGGGATGACTTTTTCTCAGATTTTCATTTGCTTGTCTTCCTTGGTTGAATTGCTGGGACAAAACATTCAAACTCACTAAAAATATTTACAAATACAATACCAAACGAAAGGAAAGTAAGTCATGTCTTACCATAGACTGTTAGTAAAAGGCCTTTGAAAATTACCAGCAATGAAGTCAAATGTATCAGCCAAATTGTGGCCAAAAGATTTTTGTAGCCATCAGATGCAATTGTGATGTCTCAGCTCTGCTGTTGCATGCATGCCCAGTGTATAGTCACTCAACAACTGTTTTTGTTCCAGTGGCTCAGAAAGTCTTTCAATTTCATAAAAATCAACCTCTGATATGATCATCAGGGTCTCTGGAGAAGCATGGGCGTGACTGTGACTTTTAATTCCTTAAAAATGTAAAATGTGAACATGTTTCCAATCTAACCAAAATAGCCCCTGAAGTCCCATGACATCTCTTCCATTAATGTTTTAGATGACCATGGCTCTGTGGTACCTAGTTGTGATAGTACAAACCAGACCACAGCAAAGCAATGTGATCACCATGAAAACATGTCCACTAAGGACTCCAACACCAGTGTAGGTAAAATGAGCTTCCACCTCTGCCCACTCCCTGCAGAGCCAATGTAGCTGTGCTTCCACCCTTAGGCATTGTCCTGACTTGTTGGACTGTGGTTACTCTGTTGTCACATTTTGTAGAATTAGTTCTATAAAAGTATTGTGAATATAATGTGTGTCCAATTGGATTATTAACACAAAAACATTTATACTCAATCACTAGTCTACTCAGGCTAAAATGATGTCAGCCGTCTATATTCAGGCTTACAAACATTTCTTGGTTTCCAACAGATCTCAAATGTGTTGGTGGGGAGAATCATCTGCCAGGATATTGACAGCATTCCTGAAAGCTAAGACTTCCTTTAGCATCCTGATTTTCCATTGGGGTTACCTAAGTACATTCATGTCAATCCACGCTCTTCTTTCCTTCCTGGACCATAGTAGGCACTTCTTCACACTCATTCCTGTTAACCACCTCTGAATTTATCTTGGTTCTTTCATCTCCTATGGCAACCAGTCCTGTCCACCTAAGTAATTTTCCATTAGAAGAATAGTGATCTCAACACTCCATTCAAGGAAAGAAGCAGAAGCATATCCCCACCCCCATTTCCTACAATAGCTAGAGATTTAAATCTAAACTGTTATATAACCACAATGGCTACAATGATAATTTTCTACAGTAAGGAAATCCCTCAGTTCACCAAGCAGCTTTCAAAACCTGAGATAACAAATCTATTTTCTTCTAAGATAGAGCAATAGATGAAGAACAAATCAAGCATGATTCTAAGGCGGTATGAAAAATGACCTGGTGGTGGCACCTTTGGCAAAAACTCCAGACCAATCAATTGAAATAGGAATAATATTTGTTCACTATAACTGGAGGGCTCAAGGCATCTCCCAGAGTTCCCAATTTGTTTCTATTTGTTGAGATCTGAGTCCTCTGAAGGGTAAAAATCTGCCTCTCCAACCACATTCATCTTAGGCCAATGATGGTCTTCTTTGGGATATTCCACATTAGAAGGCTCCAATCTCCAGTCCCTATTCAGGGTTCCAGAAAAGCCATTTTGGCAAATTAATAAAGCTTGAGTGTGTAAAGAATCAGATGGTTTGTAAAACAGAAACTACACATGTGTGAGTCCATTGTTTCCCGCATCATCTTTCTCATGGAAGCAATGTGCTTTTGTCTAAGCAATCATATTTCAGAATATCCTCCCATGCTATAACAGATAGAATGCATTTGCTTAAGATGTTTTATTTTTAAGACTAATTGTGACTAAGTAACCTGGAAGAACAGCCATCCTTCTTCAAGTTCTACTTTGCTTTTGTTCATTTTTTTGTTTGTTTTTATTAAGTGATGGAAAACTTTAATAAAGGAATTAGAGTGGTTTGTACTGTGTCGAAGTAGAGAGTGAGAAAATGTATGAAATTAGTGATATTTTGAATGTTAAAACAAAAAGTATCCCAACTATGCCTGGTTTGAAGGTTCAAGAGAATTCAGACACAATTATCTATTAGATATGAAAATGTCCCTTTTAAATCCTCCAAGTCTCAGTGACTTAAATCACTGAAGGTGATTCCCTGAGCTGACTAATGTTCCTTTCAGACCAACTAAGACAATAGTTACCTTGCTTCATCCAAACCCCTGAAGACAATCTTTTCCAGAGCTGTAATCATGGCTTTTCTGGCTATGTCACTCACTGGTGGCTTTCTGAGCTGAACCCAGCACCCTCATTCTGCTCTGGACATAAGAGAGTCAGGTTTATGCCTGTGCTTTTGATCTCAGCTCTTAGATGTAAGATGCAAAGATTTCAGATTCACCCCCATCACTAATGAGCTGGTATGGTTGGTTCTAGGTTTCTCCTTTCAATGTTACTCCCCAGCTTCCCTATCTCTTTGTGCAGCATTTTTGGCTAGTTTATTAATTTCTAGCTCACATCTCTAATAGCATATAGAAAGAGTCTGGACACCCATACTCTCCTGATACTATTCCCATTAATATCCCCCCACATCCACTTATCATTACTTCTCATTTTCTTTCCAATTTGGCTTGTTGTGCTTTTGTTAACACATTGTCTTTTGCTGCTTACATTCGTAAGTGTCATCCTGATCTGTTATTTTCATCATCAAGGAGACCCTTGTTGAAAGAAACATAGAAAGAGGTAGAAAAGATAAAAAAAAAAAAAAAAAACAGTATCAGCTAAATGACTAGGAGTCATCTTGACTACCAAGAGACCACACAAATTTATTGAAAACTAAATTCAGGCTCCAGATCTGCTCATTGTTTAAAAAAATTTGTTCATATTTTCTGCCTTTGGAACAGTGGTAAAGTCACTGAGCAGTGGCCCTTATTACTAAGGTCTCCATCTATCGTTTTTCAAAACTTAGAGGAACTGAGAAATTACTTTGAACTTCCTACTACATTCCTTTTTCTGCCTCTGCTGTCCAGTCCATGTTCTTAAAACGTGGTTTTGCTTATGAAACAGAATGATTCCTCACTTAAATCTCATAGTTGCTTGATAAAATGAGGAGATCCGGATTTATTTGTTTAAGGGACATAGATTTAGAAAAGCAGAGTCACTGGTTGTCTGAACAGTGATGATCAGTGGAGACTGTGCCCTTTTGGGGTGGAAGCTTTTGAGATGTTCAGTTATTTCTAGAAGAGTTATTACAGGAATGTAGACTATCTAGCTGAATATTAGGATTGTTTATCCTAACTGGTTATTGCCCATGCATTACTACCTATTAATAATTCCAAGATTACCACTAAAATAAGGCAATTCAGAAGATATTTACAGTTTTATTTTCCAATATCTGTGATAAGAGTGATTTTTAAAGAAAAATATTAAGAAAGGGGCCTATGTGGCCAAAGGCCTTTTGCCCTCCTACAGTTAAGAGCTTCCCATTATTCCAGTCTCATGTGACTTGATGGAGAAAGGATTCTCATTTACACTCTCTGTTCTAGACCATCCTTTTAAAAGTGTTTTTGAGCATGCAAATATTCTGAAAGGGGGTAACTCAGGGTGTACATTTAAGATTTAGAGAGAAAAAACACTTTAGGAAGTCCTGGAAAGAGGTAGTGCCTAGGATTGGAAGAAAGAGGTTCCCTTAAACCACAAATGGTACAAATGACAGAAACCAATCTTGCATAGGCTGTGGAGGCTGTTCAATAGGAAATATGTGGTTTGACTGGAGGAACAAGGATCCCAATGATTTTCCAATAAGAAGAGCTTAAGAGTGATTTTGATAAATGAGCAACTTACCTTCTGTGTCCACAAGCTTAGGAAAACTATGACAAGATTTCACTGAAGAAGATAGAAAGTAGGTAGTTGAAGGACCACATTAAAAAAAAATAGAGCATTGATTTAGAAAGACAGAGTCACTGAAAGGGCTGAATAAAGAAAGAGTGATGAGGCAGTGGTGTGTTGACTGTGCCCTTTTGGAGTGGAAACTTTTGAGATGTTCTATTCTTTTTGGAAGTATCCCAGAAATATAGGCTTCCTAGCTAGGGGTCACACTCGACAACAGCTCATCAAGCAGAACACCTGCCTTCACCCATCTTCTTCCTGCCAGGCCTATGACATCCCTGCAGTACTA